TAATTTGAAAACCTGTGATAACCCCATTTTCTTCAGTCGTAGATCTTCAAGTGTAATTATTCCTCTTTTTAAACAGTGCCTCGCAGAAAACAGACTTCCCTTGTATACAAATAAACTTATTATTCCAAATTACTGTATTTTGTATCCTTAGCTTGCCAAAACGCTTGTTCCCCTGCAGGCATAATATATACTATGTCTCCTCATTTTCTCTTGTTATTATGCAACTACTTGGGTCAGTCTCGGACTTTAGAGGTCAGCCTCGTGGTTCACAGCTGGAGCTTGAATCGTGAGGGTCAAAGGCAGGTAGAGTATTATTTGTCTACAAATGTAAAAGGTCTGAATACGTGCATCGTTGCATGGACTTATGCCATTAAAAATTAATAGTCGTTATTTTACACTGGTCTTGCTTTTGAGGAAAGTTTTGGGGAATTCATCAAGGGATTCGTGGCTTGTATTTCCACATTTATATTTCCATCGATTACTACGTACCACGCCGCCGTCAATTACTGAGCCCGGCCTGAATTATTCAAGCAATAACAACCTCAATGACGAGCTAAAAGCAAAAGGAAAATTAAAGTAAGTAGAATTGATATTTCTTGAATAATTTTGTGTTTTGGCTGCGGCGAGGTTAATCGATGGAAATTCTTTATTCCGCGTTGGCCAGTTTTCCAAAATCAGTCATTGGCAACGGTTTAACTCTCTGATTTGACTAGCTAAACAATTAAACTTAAAAAAGCTTGGCCTTTCAAAGGCTTTTAAGATCTTCAAACCGTGTTGTCCTCTGGTAGACTGAGTATATCATTAATTTCACTCTTTTGAAGGTTATGAAATAAATCGTTTGACACCGCATCAGTTTGTAAAAGCGTTTCGAATTCCGCACTTCTTTGTCAGCACAAAATGTGTATCATAACGTCTCCCGATGGTAAACCTGCTTGCATTTTATGAATGAAGTGTTTTGATACCTTCGGACATCATTACCGTGGGGGAATATGCGAGTAGCGAGGAAAACGTAAACCGCTAAAGTCCCACTGCTGTTGGGATGAAAAGTAATGGTCGAAACCGAGTCACGAAATAAAGTGTGGCAACTATTTCTTCAATTTGGCTCAACAGAGCTTGTTTTTAAAACGTACCATTGTCTTACAACTTTGATAACAACACAGTCTCTTGATTGCAAGTAACAATTATAGCAATATGGCAATATAGGTAGTCAATAGTTTGCATACAGTTGACTATGAAAATGATCATGCAATGCTTATACACACACTTGCTAACAATTAAAGGGGTATTGAATGGTCTTTGCGAGCATTTGCGAGCATGCGGGCAGTGCGTTTATTTTTGCGAGCAAGGGCGGAGATCAAATTTGTCTTGCGAGCAGCGAGCACTTTAGAAAACGCAGATGGTGAGCAGCGAGCACCTCGTAAATTTTGCGTTAGGAGGAATCTCTCTTTTATTAAAAGGAAACGTTTGCGCCAAGTAATCTGGCAGGCACCGTTCAATCACTGATCCTAGCAGCTCACAGCCGTTACGTCAGGTAGCTTCGCGTGAGCTTGGTACGCTAGGGTGGACGCTCAAAGAGATCTAAAGCTTTTTAATCCGACGTTGTGAGCACATCACAAGAAAAAGAAGAGTTACCAGGCTTTCAAGTGTTGTGACATGGAAGGTTTTTTGGTTATATTATTCTTAGGAAATATAAACAACCTGGCATTTAGTCTAACAAGCATTTCGAGCTTCGGTTTCGATGATTGGCAAACTGGTTTCCCGCTGACTGACTGAAATAGATCAACGCAACGAATGCTTTATTTGGAGGCTTCTAGGATCTAACCAATTGAAGCCATACAGCCCTCACACGCTCTGAAGGTCGAAGAGTAATCTCTACATGTCTTCATGTGTCTAGATAACTTTCTACCTTTGAGGGGGCCTTTCGCGAAGAATTGTTCCGTGCGTCAGGTCAGCAAAACGAGAAAGCCTGCGCTGGAAACATTCATAGCGCGTGCATGCTTCCCCAATGTTTCCGATCCCAGTTTTGCCATACAGGAATTGAGCACATTTTAACGAGAATCCCAGCATGCGAGCAGTGGCAAAAATTTTGCGAGCACGAGCAAACGAGCACTCATCTAATTTTAGCGAACAAGTCGAGCAAAGGCCAAATTTTGCAAGCACTTTTAAATTGAAGGAGACCATTCAATACCCACCTCTATTTGTATTAGAACATTCCGGAACGTTCAATTTTTTAGGCAATTATCAAGGTTCTATAAGGTTAGAAACTGTACTAAACTACATAATTTAGCTCTTTACAGAAGTTTCTGGAACTCAGTTAAACTTCATGTATATAAGAGCGACAGTTTCGTCTGTATAGGAGAGGGATGTAAATGAGAAGAAGCTTAGTGCTGTAAATTCGAGAAGTCAACTGAAATAAACTAGTTTGTTGCTGTTACCGGCAACTCGCTGAGTTCTGTCTGGGACCAACCCTGCTCTACAACAACACTCGTAACAACGTGGAAGACTGACAACATCAAAATCCGGGGTCACCAAATGGTTAGGAAAACCTTGGCAACGTGAAATAATAAATTTATGGATTTCCTCAGAGAAGAGCTTGTTAGTTAAAGAGCAACATCTGATATTTCTTTTTTATTCTCTGCCAAGTTCCCCTAACATGCATACAAAGTATTTATTATGCATCCACTTGTGTGTCAATCTTGGACTTTAGAGGTCATGAGCCTCGTGGTTTACAGCTGGTGCTTGAATCGTGAGAGTCAAAGCAAGGCAGAGTAATATTTATTAAAGTATTCAAGTAAAAAGAAAATAAAAGTAAGTAGACTTGATATTTCTTGAATGATTTTGTATTTTGACCGTGGCGAGGTTAATCGATGGAAATTCTTTATTCCGCGTTGGCCAGTTTTCGTAAATATCATTGGCAACGGTTTAACTCTCTGATTTGACTAGCTAAGCAATTAAACTTAAAAAAGCTTGGCCTTTCAAAGGCTTTTAAGATCTTCAAACCGTGTTGTCCTCTAGTAGACTGAGTATATCATTAATTTCACTATCTTAGAAGTTATGAAATAAATCGTTTGACACCGCATCAGTTTGTAAAAGCGTTTCGAATTCCGCACTTCTTTGTCAGCACAAAATGTGTATCATAACTTCCCCCGATGATAAACCTACTTGCATTTTATGAATGAAGTGCTTTGATACCTTCGTACATCATTACCGTGGGGGAATATGTGAGCAGCGAGGAAAACGTAAACCGCTAAAGTCCCACTGCTGTTGGGATGAAAAGTAATGGCCGAAACCGAGTCACGAAATAAAGTGTGGCAACTATTTCTTCAATTTGGCTCAACAGAGCTTGTTTTTGAAACGTACCATTCTCTTTCAACTTTGATAACAACATAGTCTCTTGATTGCAAGTAACAATTATAGCAATATGCCAATATGTATAGTCATTAGTTTGCATACAGTTGACTATGAAAATGATAACTGCTTGGAAGCATATTCTACACACACAGTTGCTAACAATTGAAATACTTTCCTCGACTACATCGATTTACACTTATTTCCGCTACTGAGGCCGTTAATCTACAGTAACAATCCTTGCTCTAACATACCCTGAAGTCAGTAAGGGAGATGGATTGCACTCACTCAGAGCTTAATGGTGAATTACGATTCTTAGGACTCACAAAAAATACATATAAAAAAATATACATATATATATATCGAAGGTTTGGGGATCATAAATAAGCTTCGGTAGTGATTCGGTGACAAAAGAACTGATGGGCCCTTACCATTATCGAATACCGTTGCCTTTTTATTTATGCTTGCTTGTGTCATCGTGTTTACTCGACTAAATTGTTCATCTGAAAGACTAACGCCCGCATACTTAAGTTCAGAGAGAGGCACATGTTAATGCTTTCAATTACGTATTTTATTTACTCACTACTCTGCTTGCGGAGTGGCATGTAGCAATAAGAAGAAATATTTTAAAGAAAATACAAGCAGTGATAAATTGCCTAACCTCACAAAGTTAACTTAGGAACGTGTTGAAGGATGTTATACGAGATGAAATGACGAAAGCGAGCCATTGCCCTAGATAATCTTTATACTGTGAACAGCTGTGTTTAAATTAATCACACAAAGCTGATTCATCGAGCAACTTATTTAATAAAAAACAACTTGTTTCAAGTTTAGGATGTTAAAGACACTTGAACAATGATAAAATAGGACGTAAGGCACTCCGGTTCTTTTTCAAGCAGTTCCAAGAAGTCGCCATCTTAGATATAAAGACCTTGCCTACTTTAGGAAGCTAACTGGAAATATGCAACAACAAAAGTAAAAATTGGGTACAATTTTTGATTTTTTCGATTCAGGAACATTATACCTGGCTGTTGTACCTAAACGGTTTCGGCAAGGCCCTGCTGTGCGAAATATCTAAATCGGTTTCATCTGGACCGTTTGCTAACAAAACAATTATCACTGTAAAACTGCAATGTAGGGTCATGCAGTGATCGTGGCAATTACCGATAGTTGAACGGAGTTCGAAACTAAATACATGTATGTCCTTTGACTGCTTAAATTCAACAATGTAAGATTGAGAACTCTGTGGTGGTTTTCCAAATTACACAATTTAATTCTTATTTTTTTACACTGAAGGCGATTAGCGTGTGTCTATTGGCGTGCCATGCACTCTGCAGTACACTAACGGTTTTCAAAATGCTCGTAATATTTATTTCTATTTTACGCACTGTGTCCCTTTCAAAATCATTTGCAGATCTCAATATTGACTTAAGCGTGAGGAATTCATAGGTAGATAAATGATTTGACATTGACCAGTACAAAAAGCACACAGGAACGCCTATGGGTCACTAGCTCTAAAACGAAGTTAACGTCACCATCTTTCTTTACGCTTAGCTTATGTTCATAATCCTGAAGTGTCGCCATTGTGCATGCGACAAGAAAGTCGTATTTTCAGTATTTTAGAGTTTCAAGAAGTGTATATCCCAATTTACCTTCTGTGCTTCCACGTTCATTGTGTTCTATTGGAATTCGCACTGGCCGCGTCTGCAGTTTGGCATTCTGAGAAAATAAAATGCCCACCCACAAATGAATGAGCTCGAATATTATACCAGAAATAAAACCATAATAACAAAAGCAATTATAATACAAGGTATATACCAAAGGCTCCATCACCGCAAGCTGCTCTTTCGCTTCAACGTTTGCAAATTTTTCGTCTGCTGTATATTAGAGGATGGTAGATGCTTTTGATAACTGTCATGTATTTGGTTTATTTCGATCGAAGCACATGGAACAGAAATGCGCATAAGTGCGCATGCTCATAACGTCAACCGCTGGCTCAATACACTACAACTGCTCCCCCTTAAGCCAGTCTCGTACCCCAAAAGTTCAACACAACATGCTATTCTTAAAAATAAAGTCAGAGCCCTAGAAATGGGCAGTTCAATGTTCAAA